TTCTTACAAATTAGTGACAATTGGTTATTTAAATTGTTTTTTGTAAAAAAAAATTGAACATATTCTCAAATTCCAAGGTATGCACTGATTGAAAAACTTCACGAGTTTGCGTAATGAATTTATATAACGTTTTTAGATGTTGGTAAAAATATGAAACTGCAAGAACTATTTTGCGAAGTCCCATTATCTATAATACCCTCCACAGCCAAAATTTGAATTCTTATGTTTCTATGCATAATATTTGATTGAATTTACTTTGTTTTTAGTTCAATATGTATGTGCAACATGCTTGTGTTAACCAAAAAATAAAAATTAGTAACGCACCTGTTTGACTCAATTTCATACCAGAGCGACTTAGTGTGTGGTTGACGAATATACTCGTCATTACTCGATTCTGAAGGCTCAAAATTGCGTGCACTTGTGAAGAGATTGAACTGGTTAATAAAGCCCTTAATATGTGCAAAACTATAGTAAACCTGAAAAACAAATATAATGATGCACAAAACACAATCTTCATATATGGATCATATTATTAGCACATTATATTATGTCAATAAATTTGAATTGATTACAGTATTGTTATGTGACATTTCAAATAGGCATTCCGTTTGCTGTGATTGTTATTGTCAATATGACATTAAATAAAGTCTGTATTTATTTTATGAGTTAAGCAATCTGTTGATTTTACTAACTGGTCTGAAAGTGTAGAAAACGAATAAATAGTGTTGCATATTTTCTTTGTATATTTTCATCTAGGACAATCGCTGAACTTTGTGTTTTAGAAAAGATTGTTAAATCAAGACTCTTGTATAGATAGACAATATTGATTTTTTGCTCCTCGTAAAATATTTATTTTCACTGGAAAGTATTTTACCGATAAACAACAAATACAAGTCCAACAGTTGCCACCATGTCAGCAATATGAACTGATATTTTTCTTGCAACTTTTTTGGAACTCGTTTTATTCAATACAAAACAATAATCAATACGATTATCTGGCACATCAATCGCAGAATAATTAATTATCAAAGTTGTCTATAGAAGCAAAACATTTAGCAAATTCACTTTGACCATGTTATTTATTTAAACTCATTGAAAAAAATTGTAAGGCGTTTTAAATAATTCTTCGTGGAGCTGCAAAAGCGGATTTCGATAGTTGTATTATGTCATGCTTACTGTTATTCATTTAAGACGACGACCTGAGATTTGACTCGTTAAGCGGCTTGTTTATTTGCATTATGGAACCAGATATCGCATTTAAATCCTGGTTAGAGAGGTTTGGAAAAACCTCTCTCACTGATAAATAGATAAAAAATACATAGCATATATAGCATATGTTATTGCGGAAATAGATATAAGGTATTAAACCTACTAAAGAGACAGAAAATAAATTTTAATGCAAGTTTGGCATAACAGAACGCATTTATTCAAAAAAATCAAATTTGCACTAGTGGTTAATAGAATCGTGCATGGAGGCAAATTCCTGAAACTTCTTATACTGAAAATTTAATTTTTTGAAAAACCTTCAAAAATTTTTGAAAACTTTGAAAAATTAGATTTTTGAAATATTTGAATAATTTGCATTTACATTTGAGTGGTATGCAAAAGTAAAAGTAGTGTTTTATTGTTATCCGTAAAATGGTAGAATATTATTAGATATTTTAAACAATTTTAGTAGGTATCACCAAATGAACTAACATGCCTGTCCCTTAGCACCGGACACTAAGTTGTCCCTTTGCGCCGGACAGTAAACATATTGATATTTCTTCTGAGAATTTACGTAATTTATTTTAATTATTTAATTTTGTTCTGTATGAGTGCTAACGGTCACTTTTTTCATTCATTTCTTAGTCAAATAAATTCTTCTTTTCATTTTTCGTATTTCCTAGTCAAAAAATGAAAATCCTATGATGAATGCTCCAGCTGAGAGCATCGGTGTGGCCCAGCCAAAATGGTGGATGAATAGTGTTTTTTCTAAGAATATTCATCAAACACATATGTGCAGACACTCCAGAGTGTGGAGATGGCTACATATGGGTTCAATGCTGGTTATTTTGAAATGTCCGGTACTAGGTGCCACTTTGAAAAATCTTATTTCTTGTTACCAAAGTTTGATTGATAGTATTAATTATTTTCAGCAAATATTGCGTTTTTGTTAATTTAGTTTGATTTCTAACTTTGTTATCTAACATAAGTCATAATTTATTAAACATCTCGTAAAATATTTTTTGATTTATTTATAAATAACCTTAGGTGTCCGGCACTCGGGAACTTCCCCCTATATTTTTACGTTTCAAAGGTTTTTGAACATTTTGGCATACCTTAGAAAAAATGGATGTATGTGTGTGTGGGGATACAAATTTTCGTCGAAGATTTCGGGAATACCGATCATCCGATTTGAATAATTTAAAAAACATTCGATTCGTATTTTACTTTTTCGCTGGCGATATAATCTCATTCTTTGTACACACAGCTGTAATATCAGTCTTGCCTAAAAATATTTTCTATTTTAATAACTTCAAAGATTTACAGAAACTACGAATAATATAGAAATAATTTCTAATCAATAAATCAATAAACTTACGTTTAGTTCATGGCACAAACGTTTAATTTGTTTAATCGAGAGCACCCTAGTCGAGCCTAAAAAAGTTTTACTTCAAAAATAAAAATATTTTCAAACTATTATTTTATTTACTTTAGCTGTATAAAATATTTCCATAAATATCAATCTGAGCCAAAAAATACAGTAATTTTATTCATTATCATTTATAAAAAATCGTTAATGGCAAATCAGACTAGACAACATATCATCGTGACTGCAATCATTAATTATCATTAGTGATCCAATGACAAATCATATAATTTTGATTAATTTAGCATTGTGGTTTGCCAAAAAGTTTCGATTGCGCAATCCAATCGAAAATGATTTCCTGTTGTCGATGAAAATGATCCTAGCCAATACAAAACAAATTAATAAAAAAAAACTAAACATGCAGAGAAATCCATTGAATGAATCTTTGCAACCGTGAACGAATTCCATTCACCAATCAATCACTCAACAGGTGAGTGCATCGTTTAGTGCTCTGAGTGAAGATTAGTGGACGTCCGCGAATTGTTTTCAAGGAAATTTTAACAAAAAAACAAGTTTTGGCACCTATGAGTAGCTAACACATCAATTTCGACTTTGAGTATGAATATGTTAAATATTTAACAAACTCAAAGAACATATTAATAATACTTGTTTCTCCCATAAATTAAAATTAATTATAATTGCATAATGAAATATTGGTTAGAATATGTTTTCGCTCTTCTTATATTTAATGCATTCGCGACCTTGCATAACAGAGTCATTCTAAAATCAGCTATAATTGTCCCAACAATGTAAAAAATTATGTTCAGAGTTTTTCAATGATATCAGCCGATCGCTTACGTACGTAATAATTAAAGCACATTTCTTTTTTACTTATCGGTACTTATAGTGCAGTAAACGGAGAGGAAAAAAGGGTATAACCTCTGAATTTTTTTACTGTGCTCCGAATTGAATGAAATTTTGGAATTAGGTTCATCTTACCCCCAAGTTCAAAAGTGAAAACAAGTCGGGTTGCGCCATCACCCCCCCCCGGGGGATGACACCCCCTCTCAATCGTGTAATTACATTTGTTCAAAATAACATCGGAAATCGATAGAAGAACTGATTATAAGAAAAAAATATCTTCTATAGTTTTTTAAAAAAAACTAATACTTTTCAAGTTACTGGCCACTAAAGATTCATATATTTTTGGCCTTTTTCTTCGTTTTTTTTGCAAATATCTCCTAAAATATACATTTTAACGAAAATCATGTAATGAACAAAATAATGTCAATAAAAATCTTAATAAATCGGTATTACATAAAGTGTTCTAGGAAAAATATTAAGCAAGATTTGAAAGAGCAAACTCGTTTTTCATTTCGTTCAAGATTTAATTGTTGTATTTAAAGCCATCTAGTATCGTGGTTTTACATTTTATGCATTTCGGTGAAATTGGGTTTTATAGCGCTCAATATAAGCTTTAAAATGAGTGCTGTTACAAGTTTTTTGCGTGTAAAATGAGTGAGCTATCATGCAAATAAGAAGCATATACGAAGTTTTTTCCTTTTAAATCATATGGTTTAATGAGCGCCATTTCCACCAGAATTAAAGTAATTCACATTCCATCTAGAATTCACTTCATTATAGACATCTTGATGGATTCTAGCAGATTCACTACTTTAGTACAAACTATCTTCAGAAAACTCACGATTTTGTAAAAACTTTTTTTTCCATTTTTTTTTAAAATCGAAATTATTTTCATTATATCTCGAAAAGAATAAAAGATACGTATAAAAGCATATATATAAGAATCAAAGGGATCTTTCTGTCTTATTATTGTTTTTTATTATTTTTCTTTCACACAAAAATTGACAGAGTTATGAATGTTTAAAGACTGCGCGGCCGCGCAAATTGGAAAAAAAGTTTTTATAAAATCGTGAGTTTTCTGAAGATAGTTTCATTTTTCATTTCAATTTCATTCAATTCGGAGCACAGTAAAAAAATTCAGACCTAAAACGCTCCGTTTTCTGCACTATTAATAATTTAAGCATAATTCTTACCTACTTTCGTTCTTGAATTGATAAATACTAATTATCACTACAAAGTTGAAATTAATAATTTGAATAACTGACTTCACCAATTTACTGATTCTCTACTGATATTCGAATTTTATACCTGTCTGTGCAAAACTTTGTCGAACTAGTGGTGCATGGCATCGTGCCTTAAGGCAAATTGCTGGAAATTCCCGTACCGAAAACTAATATGTGCTATGAAAACAAACTCCTTCTATATAAAACAATAATTATCCCAATCTGGACGTACGGAATTGAACTATGGGCGTGCGCAAGCAATTCAAATATAAAAAAATACAAATAGCGCAATCGAAAATTTAAAGATGCATTGTGAACGCACCCTGGTATATTACAAATGACACCCTACATAAAGACCTAAGAATAAAAACTATTAATGAAATTATAAAAGAAAGGAGCAAAAAATACCACGAAAAACTACCAGGACACCCAATAAAATAAACAATAAAAAAGAGAGATTTCTCATAGGAGATAATCTCTTAAATGCATTTACACCCAACATATTGTCTTAAAAAATGTATATTATTTTGATTGCTAATAAAACTCTAAACTTATTAAAAAAGATTCAATTTTCTTTTAGAATTCTGAAAAAATCGATTTTTGTGATTTTTTAAATTTTTGAGAAAAATTGACCTTTCTGAAAAATTTGATTTCTTTTATACTTTGAATACTTTGATTTTGAATATTTTTTTTCAAGGCAATCGCAATACGTTAGCTGCGCAAAAACGAAATATAGAAGCGCATGGGCGCCGCTCCGCAGTATAACGGATAAACATTGCCACGGAACACATAAAAAAGTAAA